AAAAAAAAAAAAAAAAAAGACAGCTGAGGCAAGAGGATCATGTGAGCCTGAGTTTGAGGTTGCTGTGAGCTGTGACACCATAGCACTCTACCCAGGGTGACAAAGTGAGACTGTCATCTATTTATATACACGTATTGTGTTCATGTAAAGATAAAATATAGTAATTATTTTGATAACTACAAAAGACCCAAACAAGTGCTTCCTATGCTCTTTTTTTAAAGAGACAGTCTCACTTTATTGCCCTTGGTAGGGTGCTATGGCGTCACTCAGCTCACAGCAACCTCCAGCTCTTAGGCTTAGGTGCCTCAGCCTCCAGAGTAGCTGGGACTATAGGTGCCCACCACAACGTCTGGCTATTTTTTTTGTTGTTGTAGTTTGGCTGAGGTGGGGTTGGAACCTGCCACCCTCGGTATATGGGGCTGGCGCCCTTCTCATTGAGCCACAGGTGCTGCCCATATGCTCATTGTTTTTTCTATACTCAAACACTCTACAGTTTAACTTGACTCTACCCCAAAAAGTTCAATCCAGATTTAAGGATATACAAGTGTGCAGAGACACAGCTGGAGGCTGACAGATGCTGCCGGCTTAGAAGTGGTGGTGGTGGTGCTCGGATCTGGAGCCAGGGTGGAGTAAGACCCTGTGAAGGCCCCTCCTTGTGCAGAGAGAGAGAGAGAGAGAGATGTGCAAAGAGCTGATGGTCTAAAAACAGAGGAAGGAGAATCGTATGGTGTGCATTCATAAAGACTAAATGTGTCTTTAGGATAAAAGAAATAAATTATCTGTATCAAATGATTTTTCTCTTTTGTAACTCCTAAATTGAGTAAGAAAAGCTGAGTAGGCAATATCCAAGGGATGGTTCCTAATTTCCAGTTTCCCTGTTGACTCAGGCAGAACCTGGTGGAGGGCTGGTGCCCGGGGGAGGCTGGCAGAGGAGGGGGAGCAGCTGCAGCCACAGCCACAAAAGCAGATGGTCTGAAACGGGGCACATGGGAGAGTCACAAAGCTGGGAGGAAAGTGAGGCCTGGGGGAAGACCTGAGGAGATGGGCGGCAGCTGAAGGTACTGGGGGTTTTAGTGGTTTCTGAATACCACAACCATGGAAACCAGTCAAGACTTTCCTACTTGAGACAGTTCACATATGAGCATCCAAACTTCCAGTAGAGTAGAGCCTCTTGTGAGATGACCACCCACAGGACTACAACATGCTGGCCACCACATGGAAGGAGGCCTGCTGTGCTCTCACACACACACACACACACACACACACACACACGCACGCCGCACGTCTGGTCCGTGACGATCAGGCCAGCCTGAGGAGGCTCGGCTGCAGGGCTCTACCCTACAAACACCTCCCTCCCCTGCACTCTGCAGGCTGCTGCTGAGGCTTGCCTGTCCCCTCCACGCATCTACTCTGCCATCTGGCCCAGTCTGGAAGCATCAGCCTGGCCACTATGATTTTCCACGGCCCCCATCGCTGCTTTCTATTTACAACGCGATGAGCTCCGCCATAGTTACTCTCCATGGAGTCTGACTTAACTGATGATCTTCCTGTTTTATTTCAGTTTTGCTGCCTTCAGTAATGTTATGTGGGGTTTCTTGTATTTCATTTTGCTATACCAAAATGTCTTGTAAGCAAGCTCTGTGTGAAAGAAAACCAAAATAGCCATCATTACATAGTAATAGTTCAGTGAAACTGGCTCTGAATCCCTACTTGGCAAATGGTTGCTTTCTGTTGGACTAGATTATTAAGTACGAAGTGTCCAGTTTTCTTAAGTCCTAAGTTTGACAGTGGATACCCAGCGTTTCACTTTGACACTTCAACTTTTTTGACTGTGAAGGCACATCCTCATTCTTTCAAATTACATGTTTTCTCTTGTGATTATCTTTCAAAATTTTTTAGAGCAATTTTTGTGAAATGGATAAGTCAAAAACTCCTGTTACTTTTGCATGAGTTCTGACATGGAACCAGTGCAGCACAGTCGCGCAGTTCAGAGTGTCAGTGAGGTGTCTGGGAAGGATGTGGCTAATGAACACACAGCATGTTGATGGTTTGAGAAGTTCTGGTGAGTTTAACCTTTTTTTTTGCAGTTTTTGGCCAGGGCTGGGTTTGAACCTGCCACCTCCAGCATATGGGGCCGGTGCCCTACTCCTTTGAGCCACAGGCGCCACCAGGTAAGTTTAATCTTGAAAATGAGCCATCTAGGCAGCCTGAGCCCCCAGTGCATAATGAGCTGAAGCTGTAGTAGAGGTGAATCTGTCTTCACCTACATGTGATTAGCAGCAAGATCTCATGTTACTGTTCCAGAATATTGGCCCATTTGAAACAAATTGGCAAGGCACAGAAGGTGGGTGGATGGGCTCCACATACAGTGTCTCAAACTTGCCCTTCTTTGCTGTCATGACATAAAGGCAAACCACTTCTAGGCCGTATTGTTATGTGTGATGAAATACGGATTTTGTCGGCTGCAAGCGTTTGGCGCAGTGGCTGAGTAAAGATGAAGTGCCAAGTGCCAAAGACCGTCCACAACTGAATGTTCCTCAGACAAGCTAATGGTGTCTGCCTGGTGGTCCAGCACTGGTGTCGTCCTACAGCGTGTGAAACAAGTACACGAAACCAGCTGAAGGGATGGAATGCTGAGCATGCTTGCAGTCAGGCGGCCAGCACTGGTCAGCAGACCCGGGCCGGGCCTCTGGCCAGACAGCACCCAAGCCCTCACCACACAAACACTGCTCTAACCAGGGCAGGACCTGGACACTGTCACCACCATGGTCACCAGACCTCATGCCAACTGACCACCACTTCCTCAGGCTGTGGACCACTCCTTGCAAGGAAAGATACTAAAGTCTCAAAAATACTCAGTCCCCAACAATCTGTGGAAAACACCCTTTGTGATCCCCCCACTCGCTCTCCAGGCTTCTTCACTGCTGCCGTGCACTCACGGGGGTACACTCACCACGGCATCCACTCGAGTCCATGGGGTATACCCACCACAGCATCCACTTGGGTCCATGGGGGTAACTCACCACAGCATCCACTCAAGTCCACGGGGTACACTCACCACGGCATCCACTCGAGTCCACGGGGGTACACTCACCACGGCATCCACTCGAGTCCACGGGGGTACCCTCACCACGGCATC